GTAGCCAGGATGAAGTCCACATAATTAGCCCCCATTCTGATGTACAGTATTTTGTTTAGAAAAGAGTACTAGGTTTCCATTCCTACAGTATTTCACTAAGTAATTTATTAGTCCATTTTGTCCTCAGGTGGAATAAATCATTACTTTTAACAGAGTTATAACTCTACCTTCTGACTAAAAAACCGTATCAGAATTTAGGCTACAGTTCTGTTTTCAGCTTAATAAAGAAGTTGGCGGGTACCCTACAGATTTTGACCTTCCACTGATAAACGTAAATATTTCCAGAAAAAAAACACATGAAAAAGAAGACTGTTTTATTAAAAAAAACATATGCAAAATTTCCTTTGGCTTCAGGGGAAAGGTTAACAAATCTAGTGTCACAGGCATATTAGAGAGTTCCCTTATGTTCAATACCAAAAACTAAGGACCAGATAATAAACATAAGCTGTTTTAGTAGTAGTTTCTTACTGAATATATGAGAGTTTGTCATGTAAATCCCCATGGAAAAGCAGTAAGAATCAGTTGACAGAGAGCTCAACCTTGAGAGCTAAACTAAAGTAGTTCAGAATGAAGCAATGTTCATGCTCAAGAAGCATGCAGCACAAAAACTGCACAGAACGAGCAGAAGCATCATTGAAGAAAAGAGCTCATCAACATTGCCCAGCTGCTTAGGTAAGGTATATAAAAAAACCAGGAAAGGAACAGTATTGGAATGCTGGCATACATTTACTGAATAAAGACATTAACACACACAAACATATGCCACTAACTCACAATAAAACAAGCAACAGAAAAATATTCTATCAAAAAGTATCAATTGGAATAGCAAATGATAAATACAAATAAACACACATATTTCCATACTGGATCTGAAACACTGGAGGGATATAAATGACAGAAATATTAACTACACACACTAAACAAATCGACTCCTGTGTACAGAAGTACATAAAAGAATGTTTTGCTGAGAATGACTTATACATGTCAGAAATTTTCTTGTCCATATTTGAGAAGAACATACAAAAATTCAAAATAACAGCTTCTGGTATTGTATCAGGTAAGATACAATCAGTGTTTATTTTCAAATGCTCTTTAGAGAATTTTTTTTTGCCTCTTGTTCCTCAAGATCTATGTTTATGTCTATGTTTTACATTGTCTATACTCTCAAATGTGGCATTTAGAACACATTTTGATTGCAAGACACGGAGTAAGATCCAAACAGCTAATGAGATCATGTATGGGTATAGCAATCTGTCATCCTGCAGCAAAGGATTAAAAGGTCATGTTATAATAGCTTTATTTCTCTCATACAGAGTGGTTAACACTAAAAAATATGTTTTCAATTTCGTAAAAGTAGTAAAAGAAAAAAACAAGCAAATTTCATTTTTCATAAGGGCAGCTTTTCCAATGCTAAGATTAGAAGTGTAAAAAGAATTAAAAAGCCTAAATTAACACAAACAAAAATATTTATACAGGCATATTTATTTTATTTCTGAGGAAATATATTTTCTTTAGTCCTGAAAAAAACACATTAAAATTTACTTGCACATCTGTAATGTAAGTGAAAAAGTTTGACTTACATGTTGTTCATAAGGTAGTTAGAGAGACCTTTATTCATAAGTTTTCTACTTAGAACAAACATCCAGCTGTGGAAAAGCCAGGGTTATTCACCTCTCACCCCTGAGAAGACTTGAATCCCTATCATCCTTTTCCCAGGAGACTGCCCTGATTATCATACTGGAGTTACTGGTGGGTGCTTCCACACAAAATTCTTCTGTGAAGGTTTTCCTCTTTGTATAAAATAGTGTGTTACTGATTGGAACAGGGGCTGAGAACTGTGTGAATTCCTTGACAAGTTTACAACCCTACATACAGTCTTTCAGTCCCCAGCTTACCCCTCTCTACCACTGTCCTCCTCAGGTTCACAAGGTCGGCCCCCCGATTACTACAAACAAACTCTGGTGGGAATTTGCATATGCATAAAATTGCCTCTTTTCCTTTAAAATATGAAGTGCTTTTAACTAAATATATCCCTGTTGTCACTCTCATGAAGAAATATCATACTTGTCTCAAAGAATGCAAAGGAACAAGTCACATATATTGTGTTTGACGCTGGGAAGGTAGCTGGCAGAATTTTTCATCACTCCTTCTCAAGAAAAGTTAAAAAATCTTGGTATACTAGATCCATAAACTTTAAACTAAGTATCAAGCTGATCCTTAAAAATAAAAAATAAATTTAAAAAAGGAGAAAATCAGTGTACCAGGAAAATCTGAACATTAGACATTATAACTGAAGAAAAAAAATGTTTCCTTCAAATTCTCATAGCACAGAATAGACCTAAATTTCCTTCAGCCTTCTTATTCAAGTTTTGCTTTAACAATAGCATAACTTCTTGTCAGAATTCAAGGAGAGAATATTCAAAGGAGATCTTCCTTTCTGCCACAAGAATAAGATCTGAGGAACATTTGAATGATTGGGTTGGGGGTTTCTGTTAGGACATTTGAAAAGCCTGTCCACATGATATGTGTACTCCATGTGAAGACACTGAATTACAATTACCATTTAATATTGCACCAAGTTATAGTTTTTGGTAATAATCACAACTGAAGACATAATTCACAACACTCCAAGCAACAGCTAACTCTCATTCTGGTCAGAGCAAATATAAACACAGTAGTGCTTAAAAACAAACAAACCAACAGAAATAGTTCAGCTCCAGGTAGCATCGTAACTTTCCCTGGTAGTATGTCAACAGAAGTTAATAATTATAAGCAGTCTGCATTCATTGTTATTTTTTTTAAATGAAAAACAGAACAATAGGAAGAAGGAAGGTGATTATTCCCTGCTAATATTCCAACACTGAGAAAACAGCCATCCAGGAAAAGCTTCTGATGATGTTTGATTGGACAACCACACTAACGTACCTTGATAACGGCATCTTTCTATCCTGCCTGACAGCAAAAATATGCATGGAAAGCAAAAATTAAATTTTTAAGCTAGCATGCTGGGTAAAATGTGGGTCCCATTTAAGTCAGTATCCAATACTCATCAGTTGGTAAACACTCAGGATTTTATGGGTATGATGAAAAAAGATCTCAGTCTCTTGATGACCACATCATCTCTAGCACAGTTTTCAGAAACAGCATTAATTGAATTCAAAATTGCATGGTTTATGGAGGAAAATTCTTGATTTTATCATTACTAGCTTGGTCCAGATACTGGTGCCTTTGATATAACCTAGACAAAAGCAGTTATTTTCCATGGACATAATTTTTTGTGTTGTTGAATAAGTACTTCTCAAACATTGCAATTACAAACCACAAGATAAAACAATCCACCAAGATTTTGAGATCATCTGAAGCACATACTAATAAAAGGGATTTTTGTGAGTTGAGGAGTAATATTTGTGCTACTACTTCTCTGCATTGTGATTTGTCATGTATGTTAAGTAAGAAGACCTAGAAGTGAAACACAGCAGTGAAGCTGAAGACATAAGATTTTAGTTCACACCTCCTAGTTTATAAACCCCTTATACTAAGGATATGATCAGAACCCTTTGCAATCAATGGAAAAATAATTCAAATTTTCACACAGTCAGGGGTCAGACTAAAAGCTTCGCTCCACTTCCTAGGCACTGAGACAAAAACACTAGTTAGCTATAAAAATGTAATAGTCACTATAAAAACAGTCATCACCCAACTGATTGAAAAAAATACAAACTCTATGTATAACGAAGATGAACAATTACTCTGGACATTCATCATTTCCATGTATTGCTCTTCTGTTCATCTAAGAAACTTTTAGGTCAGAACATATCAATGCAATTATTATTTTGATTGCCTATGAATGGCACTAATTTCCTCATCAAGCCTATGACTTTTACTGAACTACATCATATTTGGAGAAAAAACAAATTATTGTAGCTTTTCATTACAGAATTTTATCACCATCTATCACTGAAAGCTTTAATGTTAATGGATTTTTTACTGAGTAATTAAATTTTATTTTGTACTAAATTATTTTCACCAGTTTTCGGTTTGTTGTTAGCCATGAGCCAGGAATTTTAACAATGAACCGAAAAAAGTATGTAGCTCACTAATGCTCCCATCTGAATGAGGTGGAGTTCACAATTCTCTAAAAGCACTGCATGAATTAACAGTGATGTAGTTCATATCACTAGATCTACAGCAAATATTAAAAATTCCATTAATAATAGCAGGATCAGCATGCACAATGGGCATACTGTGTCTGGAATCATTTAAGTTTGAATACGATAAACAAAGATCAGTATCATCTATGTCTAACAGGAGGATAAAACCCTGCAGAAGTTCTGTGGAACTCACTGTAGACACAATGCTAAATATAACCTATGTAACGTAAGTGCAACCTTGTACAACTGTCACATGGATCTCGATCCTTTCAGCAAGTATTTCTCCTCGGATCAGAGGTATCACGAAGGAACTGGTCATCTACAGCACTGAGTGTTATGCAAAGGAAAGTTTTATTCAGATACAGAAAAGTTACCCATTGCCATTTGTTCTTTTTTTATAAAGAATTAACACTCTCACCATGAGACTAATTTGCTCCACAAGTCACTACATTAACCTTCTTAGTAATTTTCTTCAGCTGCTTTCAAAGCAGGCTCGGAAATTCAGGTACGCTTTCCATGCACACTTGAAAACTCAACCAAAATGACATTGTTTTTCAACAATCAGAAAGAACTTCAAATTTTCCACTGACTAACCCTCCCCTCCCCTTGACTGTACTTCAGAAGGCTACTGTAATTCAGACTCATTGCATTTATGTACTTCAAACTCATGACCACTTACTATCAGAGACAAGCTCAAACACTAGAGTTCCCATCAGAAGGGAACTCTGAAGATCAAATTGCATGTTTAAACAACCGCATTTTTCCTCCATGGTTACAGCCTTCTAAAAATCTGAGAGTCTTTCTGTTAAAACACCCTCCCATAAACCTGAAGAAGGATAAGTCACCTACCTTAGAAAGTCCGCCTACTTCCAAATAGAAGCAGATAATGAAAACATTCCAGGTGACCCACAGGGCAGTCCACACCGTGTACTAAACGCAAAGCCGGATGAAAGCAAAAAGACAGAAAAATAAAATGTGAAGATGAAAGAGGACTTTATACTGACCAGATCAATAATAAAAAGCCTGATATGAATAAGCATTGTTCTTCTGGGAACAGACAAGCATAGAGAGTTCAGAAAAGAAGCTTTCCCTGCAGAAGTCCCCTAAAGAACCACCGGAAATTAAAAATCCAATATTTGTTGCTGCTCTAAATACATACCAATAAAATGGATTTATGCTATATAGATTTAGACTACCCTACTGATGCCAATTAAGTCCAAAATGCTGACTTAAACACTGTTTTGGGGCAACTGTGAGTCACTCATAAATCATGATTTAGCTCTCTTAATGGAGATTCAAGAATAGCAGAGTAATTTAAATAAGCAAATACTGTTAAAATAATATTTCAATATTATGAAGAAAGACATAAGAAAAAAAACACTAACAAAACAGAAAACCTACGGAGCTGACAATTTGGATTTTTTTTTAAAGGGTAAGTCTGAGCTCTTCAGAGTTTTTCAGTAAAAGGTATTTTAAATAAATTAAAAATAGCTCACTACTTCTCCAGCCCTTGTGGGGGGACACACCCCTTCACTCATGATTATATCCATATCTCTCCCAGGTTCTCCAGTGTCCTACCGTAGTGTAAGACTGAACTCAGAATCTACCCACAGCATGACTGGGAAATTAATTTGCCTACCTCAAATCACCTTTTGCATTTTAATTGGCAGCACAGCTGACTGGCAGCCCTTCCTTACAGATGCACTATTTACCGATACAGGCCTGTAAACTATGTTCAAATACCTCTCCAACCAGTACAGTTTAGGAGCATTTCTGTCTGATGGGCTCAGCCATATCCCAAAAAACACAATCAACAGCAGCACTGCCCCTTCACATTCATGTATTTATAACGAACTACTGCTAAGTGCCTGTGCAAATAGGGGGCTAGTTAGCTCAGTCAGTTGAGCGTGGCGCTAACAACGCTAAGGTCGCAGGTTTGATTGCCGTTCACTCCCCATATGTTGCCTGATCTAGTCGAGAGGTGGCGTCCCTGGCAGCAGGGAGGCTGGATTAAAATGATCTCTAAGGTCCCTTCCAGCTTAGGCCATTCTATGATTCTGTGATTCTATGAAATCTAATTAGTTGTGACCAGGTGAGGCTTTTGTCTTGCTTCTATGTACTCAGTAAAACTCAACACCCTAATCTACAATCCCGTAGGTGCCATTAGCTTGGTTTTCTTAGGGAGCTCTGGGTTATGGTCCTCTCTTCTTTCTCCTTCCTACCATGTGTAATGAAAGGTTCCATTAAGGAGGCAATGAAAGGTTCAGGTGAAGACAGTTTTTTTCCCACTTTGATTACCCCCACACGCCTACAGTTGTTTCTGCACACCAAACGGGTTAGCTGCTTTCATTTAATTTCTCAAGAGGTAGTTAGGCTGTTAGTGGCCTCGTTCTGTCCCATGGACACCTTGAACCATGAAGGCAAATACTGTCTGAACGGGCTTTCCCAGGCCAAGCTAGGCTGTTTGACACAGTCAGGACCTCTTCATCTCCTGAACCACTCTGAGGATACCTGAAGGAATATTGCAGGTCCAAAGCAGGTGTGCACCTCGAAACCCAGCCGCTGTGTATGCAGAGATTCTTCCTACACTTTCACTGAACTGCAGGGATATTAATTTAAGCTCCATTTTTCTTTAAGAACGTAACAATTACATATTCAGCAAGTAGTACCGCATGGGGTTTTTTAACTACGAAAGTTCTTGTCCACATCTGAAAACATATCTTTTGGATATGCAAGCAGCAGTTATAGTATAGTGTAAGTTACTTAAGGTAAGATTACATTAAAAGAAAGATTTTAAGACAGCAAAAGCAAGAAAGTAAAATAGGAAATGTCAGAATTCTGGTTATATATACTACCTTAATTTTGCAATACAATGCAAACATTAATTACATTATCACAGGTGTATTTTTATTTTAAAAGACCTTACCTCCCTTAATACATTTTATGAACAGCTTAATACATTTTATGAACAGCTAACTCAATACTTCATTTCTTTGTCACTCAGACCTTGCTCTGAGGACAGAATATTAATTTCCTCATGAGGTTTTCTAAGATGCTCATCGCTGTGATGTGTGAAAGCTGCACAAACATTAACTAATTTATTTTATGTTATAAGGAAATGATACAGCTCTCAGAATGCAAATTATATTCTGATACATGCAGAGATTACATTCAGAAAGTATTCATACATTATAGGCATCCAACTTGAGATGCTTAAGACTTCATTTTTCAGAACACTTGGGGTTATAAAGCGCTTTCTAAGCTCAGTGTTCAGCTCCCTGTGGCTGAGCATTCAGCACTTGTGCAAATTGGACCACAAGGTCTCAAGACAAGAACGCAGAAGGCAAAAGGAAAACAAAGCATGTGAGAAATTTCATTTAAGTGACTCGCTTTGTCTCAAACAAGATTTTGGTGGTTGAGAGCAGAGATAAAGGTCAGCTAATCCAGTATAGCCTTCATGAAAAAAACAGTCCTTTTACTCTTGATGTCACGTGCCTCATTCTTCCCATGTATTCTGTTTTCTGTAAATCAAGTTTCCGTTCTTTAGCTGCAATCACCAGAAACAAAATGTCTGTCCTTTTTATTGCAACTGAGGTGTCCCTAAAAAACAACTGGTATGCATCCACGCAGTTAAAAATATATACAAATATATATCAAATATATACAAGGATCACATTAGGATTGCACAGGAAGGCTTTAATAGCTTAAACACCTTTTAGTAGCAACTTTTAAGTGTTTCTTCCTGAAAATTTCGTAGTACTTTCTGAACATTATGTGCATAAATTTATATGTACATACCTTCAACGTTTTGGTTTTTTTTTTTAAAAGTAACAATATGCCATTATGGAGCATCACAATAACAACTGCTTTGGTTGCTAGGGGAGGTGTAACTTTAAGATCTATGATGCAGACCTCTCTTTTTTGCTAGCAGAGAAACTGCCTGCAGTCCCGAGTTGTTGTCCTCTGTGCAAAGGGCCACGTCATGAGTGCTGGCAGATGTTTGCTGTCAATGGAAGACTGGTTCGGGTCTGAAACATGCAGTCCACACTGATCCTCAGGGTTAATTTCCCACCCAAGGCACCTCACCTAAGCTGTTTCATGCCCTGACCCACCACTGAACCTCTCCTGCCCCATGTCCTGCTGTGCCTGCTCACTCTTACCCCTCCAGTTCTTCAGCCAGCCACATTCCATCCTTCCCAGCTCAGCTGGTCTCATGCTCAGCATCACAACCCTCAACGTATCTGGCATGAAGAAGGAATTTTCCACACAGATTCAATTAATTAGAAGAGCTGATGTTTGTTTTATTTTATTGCGTATATGATGCACTACTTAAAAATGACCTGAACATTTTTGCCTAACAGATTCCTTCACCTGGAAGGACCTAGCACACTGGTGGTAATCTTTGCAGATTCCTCCCCATGATGCACTGTGTACTTTCTTGCTTTTGGTCTTTTTGTGCTAAGGATTATATACTATGTAGTGTGAGGATGCATTTGGAGTCTTGTAAGTTATGTGGAGAGAGTACTCCCTAAACTTTACAGGTGAAATGTTTATTAAACTGTTGTCCAACACAGAGGGTTCTTGATGCCAGCCTCTACGACAGTGATATTTATATACCTCTTTTGACTCCATAGGCCATATTGAAGCTGATGCAGAGATGCCTTTCACATACCAGTGAAATATAACCATTTCTAGAGTTAAATCGGTGATACTGGACAGCCACAATGTCACAGAAGGAAAGGGTTAAGGGAAAACATGAAGGATGTCGTCTTAAACTGAAAAGTCAGAGAGAAAAGGGAAATTTCCAAATTTGAATATTACAAGGTTGTGGGACAAGTTTTGCTTTAACGAATTACCTGTCTCAAGTGTATATTTAATTTGAAGTGCAGCACCTCCTCTGGCAGCATCTTGGCATTAGGGGAAATGAAAGCTGGCTCAGGGATACTTCAAGGAAAAGGCAGCAACTATTGAGTCATCAGATGGTACCCCTCTAATTCCTGGCTGTGCCTCAGAGGCATCAGTACTTAGAGTCCTACATAGTCATCTTTGTGAAAGATGGCTAGGAAAGTGGCATAAATCAACATGATGAAACAGTAAGAACTCAGGACTTACCAGGAAGGATATTCAAGAAGTAATTCTGGATGCCTAAATATTTCACACACCTTTTGAGTGTCTGTGTAGTGTTTGCTTGAATATCATGTAAAGTAACCTGCTTTTTTTAAAGAAACTGTTTTCTGGTTTTTCAAGTGTACACATTGCCTGTATATCATATTATAGAGGCAATAAATGAAGGCAAGCAAAGCAGAGATTTCCATCTTATATTCACCCTGTTTAAGCATTTTATTTTTATGTCTCAGTGTTCATTAATACATTTATGTTCAGCTTTGGGACAGGTTTGTGCAATGTTATCTACATGACTCATCGTTCAAAAGGCTTTTGAAGTCCCGTATCAGAAGTAGGAGGGGGAAAAAACTCCAACTTTAACAAGTATCCTGTCATCATCTTTAATCAATTTTAACAGCCTGAAAATCTTGCTGGTGATAGCAAATTCTACTAAGAAAGGAAAAGCATACACAAGGAAATGGATCACAGCAGAGCTCTGGAGCTGTGTGATGGATGTGTTACAGCATAGTTAGAACTGAAATCTAGCTGGTTTTATTTCTTTGTGAATGTTTAAGTTTCAAATGAGCTAATACGGGAAAATTAGGAATCAGCTCTGCACTTTTATGTCCCCCAGGGATGTTGCACTGATGTAACTCAGCCACAAAATATTCAGGCACTGAAAATATCACATTTGCTTAGTAACAGGACAAATTGTTCACAAAAATTGATCTAAATTACTAACTAATACAAAGACTATTATAAATAAATATCTGATTTAAAGTAATTAGGACACTTGGAGTTAATGCTGTTCTCTCTCTCTCTCTCTCTCTTTGTTTCCTAAACCCTGAGAACTCAAAATTTTACTTATGAGCAAGTGAAATTCCAGCTTAATTTCAGAATCACCATCCTCATAGCCCTGTATCTGAAGGACTGTAGATGGAGAACATGACCCACTACTTTTATCTACTTGGAATGACAACTGTATTCAACAGAGATGCTTTATGACTGAGCCATTGCATGACAGCTCCCAGGGGTGGAGCTTTTTTTTTCAGTAGGAAGCTCTCAGACAAAATTTTGTATCACTCAAACTATGAAGCAAAACTCATTTCTTCATTCAAACTTTTAGTCTACAATGGCTATGGTTATGCTACTGCCAAAGAAATGACTGCAGCTTATATACTCATTAAATGCTAGTGACAAACTAACCAGCCTGGGTTCAATGACATTGGAAGAGTTAGAAGCATCCCGCTGAGTTTGTGTTTATCTAGCTTCTATCACAGTCCTCACTGAGCTCCTTGGCTCTAGGTACCTGCACCAAAAGCCTGCTCAATTTTGCCAGCAGAACTAGTCTCATGTTTGACCACAGTATGGATGTGCTTCAGGTTATGGCCATGCATATAACCCATTTTATTAATTTTACTTTCCCTTTCCTGCCATATGTTAAATTTGGAGGGGAAAGGACACTACATATGCAGCACAGGGTGGCAAAGCGAAAGCTCTTGTGTAACTTCACTTTCAGGGAAACCTTCAGGCACAGACTTCATGCCACAGAAGATAGATTAAAGACATTCTCTTGAGGTCAAACAGAGGACTCTGGTGCTGGTCAGCCTAAGTCAAGGTCCCTACCACAGTATGAGAGAATATGATGGGGACAATTCATACCCACATGTGCCAGATCAATTTTGTGTAGACAGTTTACAGAAGTGAACTGTCTGACATGATTTCCCTTTACTTCATTTTTTTATATTACAATTGCATCATGTGTACTAGCAAAATGGATTTCCTGGAAAGTTGTAAGGAGAAGACAATGCATACTAAGCATAATTTTCTTGAAGTATTTGGTTACTTTTCCAGTTAAAACTGGATTTGGCTTAATCTAAATAAGAAGCTTCAGCAATCAGAGTACATAAAAGCATGACTCAATGTATTTCTTTTGCCGAAAGCACAGTACCAAATTCTCACTCTAACAGGAGACACCAACCACTAACATAGCCAGATGCTTACGAGTGGCTGAAGGTGTAGCTCTGGACTCCGAAGCCCATGGAGCTTCTCAATGAATTTGGAGCCCAGGTAGGAATCTCTCTCTACATCGTATTTAAGTAATACTGAAATTCATGACACTACTGTAGATTTGCATTAAACAGACTTTATATTTGAAGCCAGCAGTAAAAGTTTACTGCTGTAATAAGTGGACTGGTTTCAATGGGTTTCAGAAGCAGGGAGGCAGTCTTTGTCCTTCCTTGGGAGAGGTGCCTTTGGATTCCCTTTTGCCTTCCTGCAGAGAGCCTGGAGCTGGCACTGATAGGAGCCTTTGCTGTCTGTGCCAGTGGCTCCTCTAGGCCTTCTGAGGACAGCTGCTGAAGCCCTGCTGTGTTTGGGACAGCCCTAGGAAGTAAGGCTTCTGGGGGCCATGTGTTAGGTACTGGCTGGAAGATCCTCAGGCTGTACGTCAAGGAGCACTTTAAGCTGGTGTAACCCTTCACTGCTGCAGGGAAACTCCACGTGCTTTTCCCCTTCCTCTGGCTACTTTCTACCATTTTTCTTCTCCCACCTCTTCCCTTCTGCTGTAACAAGCAACAGAGGTCAGAGAACTGACCTACGCTTAACATCAGAAAAGAAAATGCTTGCTTTTCAGCATTGGTTTGATAGTTTATGAAGTGGCTGAACTGATGCTTGTGCTGTTGCAAATGAACTGCAGGTAGCAGCTAAGAAAAAGTGGAATGGTTTATGCTGTGTTGAGGTATTCATTGAATTCAGCCTGAGGGTGAAGCTAGACAAGAGGCTGAACTGACAAGTTTGTAGCTAGCAGCAAGGAAATCTTGCATCTCCTCCTCGCCCCTCCACCTTCATACTGCTGTTCATGACTGTGCAGTCCCAATCTCTGCCTTATCGTGGTCCCTGCATCCATTTGGGAACCTCACAGACTGGATTCAGCTCACCAATCTAGCAAAAAGATCTCTCCTTTTCGATAGGCTGGTTTTTTAACAGCTTAGGAGTGGAACTGGCTTATTGAAAGGTCTCGTTAACTGCTGCTACAGGGTTTGGAGAAGTATTCAGCCAGGAAGAAGAATAGCGGGACTAAGGAGGCATGCAAGCCACCCCATTCTGCTGATGTTGAGCTGTGAGGCTGGTTCCAGACAACTTGTGTACTTTCACTCTTCAGACTTCAGAATTGGCTCAGACTACTCCTCCTTTTTCACTGGGAACTTTACTTTAGTAAGGACAGAAGCTGCTATGAAGTCCTATCTTCCCAAGCAATGAGTATTTTCCCTTACTAATGCTTGAGCTCCTAAATATATGCTTAAAGTTAAATCAGAATGCAAGTTCAGTTAAACCTCAGAATAAAGTATCTTTTTAAGGTGTTTCTTTCTTTAATTACAAAGTTTTCTACCTTTACTTTAAACCAACTTTGGTTTAGCCTAAAATGTTCATTTACATTGAGAAAGATATAGAAACAGTCAACATCTGTTGTGCTTCATTTGAAAACCGAAGCAGAGTTTCCACCACTGAACAGCAGTGCTGAACTAGAGGGGCAAGAGATTGTGTTGTGTTGCACTTCAGATGCAGATTTCTCATGTAATTTTACAGATGCTTACCCCCACTTGCTTCCAATGTCTTATGTATAAAAGGGAGAAAACGAAGCAGAAATGTGAGTCATCAACATATGGATGTATACACACTGCTGCCCAGTTCTCCAATCACAGGTAAGATGTAAAAGTGCCACTATTTACATCAATTAATTTTCAATTACTTATAGTCTGCTTGTGCAAGTATAAAGAACCTTAGGTGCACTTTTTGTTCACTTCTTCTTTCAAGACACGACAAAAAATTACAGGATTCAGGGCCTGGCTCGAAAAGATGAAGCTTTTTAAGTATCTGTTTAATGAGTTTTCACCACTAGGCATTTATTTCACGCTTTTGTGAAAGTAACTTTAGACTCTTAAAGTCCCTTACTGACAATACAACAGAAATATTTCAGATACAGACAGTGCCAGGTAAAGACATAATATTAATCTATTCAGGAGAGACTGTGGGGGACGAAAAGGGGTATATTTTGTTGGCAGTTTTCTTCACAGCTTTAGAAGGTTTTTTTATTCCTGGCTATGTTAAGTACATGTGAAAAAAAATCTGTGAAGCTTCCTGTTACAAGCATCAGAGAGAATTTACAACAGTTTAGGGGCAAGGACATAAATACAGATCGTGGCAAAGTTAGATGCAAGATGGAGATTTTTTGGAAGCTATGGGTCACAGAACCAAAAGCATTTCTACAGCCCTTGCTTATCCCTGTTAAAGAGGAAGATGGAGCAAAATATAACTTGACCGTTACATTTTTTTTAAATGGCCATTGATTCTGCTTGTCTATTGAAAAGAGAATAGCAATTTCTTTTCTTCATTTATACATAATGTAATCGTAGATGCTCCCATGACCCATCCATGTATTTAATTCTGTGAAGAATCTTCTTAATGACTTATATCATGGTCATAATTGGCAGTACCTTCTCTAAGTTAGCCATTCTCTACAGCTTCTAAAATCTCAGGTATGCCACTCAGTAGCCCCAAATTTCCAAGAAGACATGTAGATCTCTAAAATTGCTACAGGAATACCATCTAGTGTTTTGAAACCAAGAAAATTCTGCTTTGCAATATGACATATTTTAAAAACAATTGCAAAAAAAAAATAATAAAAGAGACTTACCACAACTATGTATCGAGGCCTAAACTGGATAGTTCCAAACAACCCCAAAATGACAACTATTATTTGTAGGAAATTGCCAAGGATAGGAGCCCACTGGAAACCAAGGAAGTCAAAGATCTGTCTCTCTAATGCTGCCAGCTGTAAGAAAACACATAAACAGAACATCCATTTTTAATTATGTGCAAGACGGAACACTTGATATTCTGTTATTTACACCAGATTTCACCAGAGAAAAGTATGGCAAGATTCTGAAACTACTGTTCCTGAGTGCAGCTTTTGTCCAGCTGGTGTCTAGCTATTAGTCAACATATATATCTTCCAATAAAAAAGCATATGGAATAAATTTTAATTAAAGAAAATATTTGTAAAACACTTATGTAATATAAAAATACCTCTACAAAGCAAACACAGACAAGTTTTATTTTATTCTTGTATGTTGGAAACTCTAAGACTTGACAATATTTATTTAAATGCAAAATCTGTCTTAAATACAAGCTCACCTAGATTCAGCAAAGCTACATAAACCTTGCTATTGTTACTGAAATATCATCACGCTCCCTCTCATCCTCACATCTTTGTTTTCTTAGATTATCAAACTTGACTGTGTCCTAAAGAAGAGATTTTGGCAGAGGAGTCCCAGATGTGGCTATTGGGTACACTCATGGGAGTTCTTTAACGCAGGAATTAAGGAAAACTGCAAGAGCCTCCTCGCTACCTGAGACGTTATCAGGGAGTGAAACGCTGTAGAAAATGTTGGAAGACCTTAGAGCAAGCTGCTTCAAAAACAACAGCCAAACGAGCTCTCTGCACCCTGCCAAAAGCTGATGGATTACTTTGGGTAAGCAAAAGTCAGAAAGACATGGTGGTAGCCTAACGGCTCTCTTCCCACTGTCCTCATGGGATTTAGGGGAGGATTTAATTGGGTGTGGAAATGGAGGAAGCTAAGAAGCATCAACCTTCATCCTTGCATCAGCATGTGGTTATTAAGTAATTCAGCATTTCTGAATGTTAAGCAAAAAAACAAATGAAAAAAAAGCACAAAACTGAAATTTCTCTGCAAACACATTTGCTACTCATTTTTGACAATTCAGTCTATTGTTCTAAAGACATTAAAATCAACTTTCTCAGCAGAACACTTATGGAAGTTTAAACTTGGTTCAATATTTTTCCAGCTGTAGTAAGACATTTCTGAGCAGCTTAACAGAATCCTACTGAGAAACAACTGAGTTTCTGTGCTTGCTAGGATTTATTACTCATCTACTTGATTTTACTACCTTGTTACAAACCCTAAAATTTACTGAAATACGCACTTAAAATATTTATAACTGAAACAGATGGAGTAAGCATGTCCCTATGAATACTAACCACAGTATTATCATACATGGGTATTTCACATAAACCATTTCATTTTACACATAATGGCCAGTTTCAGTCCTCCCCTACAAGATGAGGCTAGGTGTCATTGAGAGCAGAACCCATCTTTTTCGTACAAAAATCATCCCTTATACCAGTCATGAAAGCCACATTCTCTGTACTGAGGTTAATAAATATGATAAATCTAAACAACTAAATGAACAAAGGTTAAATCATCAACTTGGTTCCAGTCAGTGAAGTTACATTGATTTTATCTGCTAAACATCTGGCCCAGTACATAAAAATGAAAAATTATCACACAATGGGCAATGTTAAAATGATAAAATCCTCCTGGACATGTAAGATGTTCCTTTTTTAAACAAAAAAAAAAATCTTACCCTTTTTGTGCTATAGGTAAGGGAGAATCTCAAAGGGAACACCACTCCATTGTGAGTGAAGCTGTTGGCTCCTGTGGCACTGGCTGTCTAGCTTGCTTTTGTTACATTCTGCCCTCTCTTAACTCATTGTCCATTTGGATCAATAATTTGATTTCTTCTCCAGTTATGGAAAGGAATTACAGAAGTTACTGACCAAATCCAGAAAAGTACTTATTTATGTGGAGTCAGATGGAATTTCAGTGTCTAATGGTGTGGTTGTCACCTTCCTGGAAGTATGGGCAAAGAAAGGCAACCAAGCTGGTGAAGGGTCTTGAGAACAAGTCTTACGAGGAGTGGCTTCAGGAACTAGGCTTGTTTAGCCTGGAGAAAAGGAGGCTGAGGGGCATTGCTACGTTGGACTCAATGATCTTAAAGGTCTTTTCCAACCTAAACAATTCTATGATTCTACGTGGGCATCCAAACTGGTACAAATTGGTACAGTGCCCTCAATTCATTCTTGTAATATCTTCACCTTGCAGTAGATTCACTTGAGTCACAATAATGGCCTAGCTGGGCCTTCACAAGGAACACTTCAGAATCACTTGCTTTTTCTACCATTCTCTAATGTGCTCCCTCAGGCAATCCAGGTGACCTCTATTTAGGAATACCCCTGCCTGTAGCTCCCCTAAACCACAGGATACATCACATAATACAAGGGTGCCCCAAATCTCATGTGTGAGATGCAGCAGGTTTCAAAAACTCTGACATAGGCAGAACTCACAGTTTATGGTATTAACAACAACGTACCAAGAGTCATGTCCTGTATGACATAGGAAGACATTTATGACATCCATGACTGGAGCCAAAAACTGTTTCGTTCCCATCAATGCAAGTGGAGACCTTCCAGGGTCAGCAAAGCACCAAAATAATTCACAGACCACCATTTTCAGAAATAACGCGTCTTCTTCCTGGAGATCTGACATTACCAACTGAGCAGAGGATGGAGTTGCCAAATCAGACTGGAATCTGCTTATCAGCCACCTCTGCCCTGACATTCACTGAAACTCTCACAATAGCATAGGTCTTCTACACCAATAAGGGTGACCTATAAAGCTCCTAGCACTGAAAGCAGCTGGCTTAGGATTGCTTCCAGTAAAATGTCCTTGGCTCTGAAACAAGGCAGCTGCGCACAACTACATCCCTACTTGCTCAAAATGGTCCTGAGCAGGGGAGAGCTGTCTGGGAAGACCGCTGGTACCACTGAGCACGATTAACATGACAGAGTACTCTTTAGAGCTCACTAGCACCCACAGTGCCATGCCACTGCCTAGCTTCTTCTCCAGGCACATATGAATTTGCTGGTGTAGATAGCATGAGGCTCAGCCAAAACAGGGGTTGAGGAAATTAATTTCACACGGATGGTTTGCTGCAAGAGATGGCTGCCCATACCGCTGTTTAGTATGTGTCCCTTGTTAAAGTGGTCCTTGGGAGCAATTTTCAGAACTGTGTAGATCAGCACCTTAAATATCTGAAAAATAGAGTACTGCAACATCAGTAAACACGGCCACTGCACTTTGCCAATAGACTCAACAGGCTTAGCACTCAGCTCATGCCTAAACTGCATCAGATATAAAGTTTGTCTTCATATGTACCTCCTTGATATCTGCCAAACAAACTCTGAGCATGTCTAGCAGGACTGGGTTCCCACAAAAGAGCACAGTAGCCACAAGTATCTTCCCAAAGATGATTGTATAAATGCATATATACACTGTAAATAACCATACATATATAAAAACTGATTAGTCTTTTTAGGGATTACTGTAGTAAAGGCACCCAGCACAAACACTGAGAAATAAGGTTTAATTTCCTCTCCTGCTGCCTACTGAGGTATCCATTCCTCTCCTCCTACCACCTATCCAATAAGATATCATGGGAGAAAGCTTCTCTTTGAAGCTGTGTCACCAGCCAAAACCCAAAAATTCATATTTGGTGAGTCAAAAAACATGAAACATGAGTCTATGGCCTAGTGCTTTGAGCACTTATGTAAGACTGGGAGAGTTGCTTTTACTTCTTGCCTGCAGGGCTCACTCTTTATTTTTATATACAGTGACAGCATGTAAACCACCAAAGGAGTGCTGAGAGCAGGACGCCAAACATACGGCACTATTCCTTCCTCACTAAAAAGTGCTTTCACCATCATGCTATGCAGCGAGGCTTTTCCTGTGCAGCTAAGCCTCATTTATTTTGCTCTTGTCGCCAACAGAGTAATTTGTCTCATCCCTAAAGCCCACAGAATACATTAGTGTGGGGGAAAAATCTAAAGAAAAGAAAGAAGTAGGAGGCATGTCTATCCTGCTCAAATTGCTATTCTCTTCCAAATTATAAAACCTTTTTGCAGACAGTGCAGATAGGAGTTTAAAACCCAATAATTCACAATAATGGCAGAGGAAACGTATTAAGTTCTGTTTTCTTTATACCATGAGCAATATGCATTGAATAGAGAAAATGTAAGTGCTGCTGTTATTATGTCTACTATCTCACCCAACAGAGTCCTCAAGCACAGGTGAAGGCCAGAGACTTTATAGCTCTGTGAAAATGAATAAAATCAGTTCCTAACCTAGTCTGTGATACAGGTAATTCACTGCATAGAAATCATCAGAATAAAGGGAAAGAAAGAAGTAGCTGTGCACAATTAGAGCCTATTTTTACACAAATGTGAAGAGCCAGTACTATCTGTGTTTGCAGAGATCCAAAATCTCAGTAGCCACAAGTGGCCACCAGATTAACCTATGCCACGTGGTACAGCTGGAAAGGAGCAGATACTGTGACAGATAGTTTCACTTGGATTTATATGCATGTTAGTACTTTGAAATGCTTCACCAAAACCATTTTGATGATAAAGAGGTTGTTTTTCTCAATAAGAAATTTTGCCAAGAGAGTTTCTGCTTTCATCACCATTTTCAGATTCTTCGTGAAACAGTCAAAAAACCTGAACCAAGAAGGCAAGACAGAGATTCCCAAAATTAGCTGACTCGACTTTTCCCATTGCTAGAAGACATATATAAACTTAGTAGGGCAGAGGAGCTCGAGGTTGGAGAAATAGAGTATGTTGGATGTGACTAAGATCATCTGGGGATTTACCATTATATCACTTTCCTAAGAAGCACATGCTGGGAGAGGCTGGCACCTCCATGACTTGTGGTAACTAAGACAACAGTGTCTGGGAGCATCTGTCATAAATTGTTTTTTGATACTGTTTTTTAACAATTAACATGAAAGTGGAATAAAAACCAAAACCCTTTTTTGCAAATTAAAGAGGAGGGTTTCAGTTTCGGCAAATTAAATATTGGGAGTCTAGTTTTAGAGAGAGTTGTGTCCATCTGCATGAAAGAATTTCATAAAAACTTA